GTTCATATATAACTAAAAATTGTGCTCTACACTGGAATTTGATACAACATTGTAAAATGACTATAACTCAATAAAAAATGTCTTAAAACAAAACAAAACAAAAACCAAAAAGCACTATTTGCTTGACATCTCCAAGTGGTTAGCTCAGTTTTCTACTTTGAAGAAAAAATGTTATATGGCTCCTGCAATGGTTTTCTTTATCCAGTTGAGGTATTTTTTGGTAAGGAGTGTGTAGACGCCAGGCTTCTGGGAGTTTCCACACTCCCCAAAGGAAGTGACACCTCTGAAAATGTTACCACATATCAGAGGACTTCCAGAATCTCCCTGAAACAGAAAGTCATATGTTTTAAATAGGAGTGCTTTCCAAAGATATTTATTCATCTTTTATTCACTCATTCACTCACACCTTCTTTCTTTCTTTCCTTATTTAAAGGCTAGTTTAATATCTCTTTTATTATCTGCCCTCAGCATCAGCTAACATAGATTTGTTTATGTTTTCCAATCATTTTCCTTCTGAAAAAGGCAATTCTGGAGAATATGTGTAAGCTCATTTCTATCAGTCAAACAAAGAAGGAATAACAAAGGAAGACTTTCACAGTGAAAAATAATTGTCTTCTTCAGTCTACTTGTATCTGCTTTCCTTGGTCATAGATGTTAGGGGGAGAAACTGAATACTGAGGCTACTGGAAAGCTTGAGATGGGATATGAACTACCCTTTGCTCTGAAGGAGGACACTAGCTAAGCCATCTCAGATCAAGGAATACTTGTGATAGTTCAATTTTTATGGATCTTTTCCAGGGCTCATCAGACTTCATGTCATATTCTCTCTGAACTTAATCTTCCGGGTCATGAGTTCCAAGAAGGGCCTAACCCTGATCAAGCCCATTCCTGGCACATGGAGAGGCAGAACAATGCAGGAGTTGGGAGTCAGATGGCCCTGCTCCAAATCCAGGTCCACCCCACCGACAGCTGAGTTATCTAACTTGAGGAAGTTAAGTAACATTATATGTCTTAATTCTCTCATTTGTAAGATAGAGTTGATTATAATAGTGTCTAGTTCATGGGACTATTTGAGGATTAAATGGCGTAAAGGATAGAACTTGATATAGCTCTTGGCACGTGGTAAATGACAGCTGTCATGATCAGCTTCTTTTTTTAATTAAAAATTTTTTTTCTATAGTGGAGGTACTGGGGATTGAACCCAGGACCTCATGCATGCTAAGCATATGCTCTACCACTGAGCTATAGAGGCTGTGGCCCTCTCCCTAAACACCCATCATGATCATTTTTGGGAGGGCTGGAGGGCATCTGTAAGTGGTGGTTAAATGGGATCCTGAAAATGATCATTAGTAATGAGAGAAGGCTCCCTGGGCAGAAGTTTTCACCCGAGACAAAGGAGCACACAGCTGCCCAGTGTCAAGCAGACATTCATGCTGGCCTTGCCTGTAAAGAGTAATAATAATCATCTATCCTGTTCTTCCTAGGTATCCTATTTAACAGGATTTCCTCTAGCCAACCCCCCCGCCCCAAAAAAACGTTAAATTTTTAAATTTGCTTACTTCACATGAGTCATCTTCACCTTTTCTGCCACCAGCACAGATCATACTGAGTTTAACAACTTGAATAAAATAGTGCCGGGCATCGTTGCATATTTTTCTGTCTATCACAGTAATGTTGACTTCTCTCAAGACATCTGAGTTTTTGTGTGAGTTTTTTTTGGTGCTTCCCCATCCTGCCACACGGCACTTGGTGTGGGGTTTGACATCGTCTCCTGTTTTTGGTAATTGAAGTAGTCCTACAGCTTTGGTCATAGTTGCTTTTTTTTCCAGCTAGAAAAGAGACAGGAGATGCAGTTTTAGGCAGGGAGAACAGCAACTAAACCCAGAAAATACCTCTGACTGAAATAGACATCTTGCTTATTTGGCATGTTCTTACAAAGGACATGACTGAAGATGTGTTCTAACCGAATTGACCACCAGTAATTGATTTTTTTAAAAATCACCGCACACCTTTCCAGGTGTGTTTTGCTAGGCTAGTCTAGGTAAACTTCAGTCCAGCTGACCTGCCAATGATGAAAGACATTGGTGGTGGCAGATAGGGTGATGGTTGAAAAGCTAGCTGTGTTGGAGAACTCGGTCATTATTTCATTCAAGTGGTCTTAGGTTCATGAACTGACTGATGTTGAGACCAACGGAAGGAAACCAGGGCTATGGGTGCAGTGGGCGGTGTGGGCAAGGGGCCAGTGTCCTCATTTTCCACTTTAGTGGAAATGTGGCTTCCCCACTTCAGAGCATGTACAAGCCAGCCTCACTGCCTTTGGGGCTCACCCACACTCTGACCTTTTCTTTCATTCGCCAAGCCCTCTTCTTGGCTCACTGCCTTGCTCTCTCTCTTTCAGAAAAGTCCGGGCTAGGAGGGTAGGGGGTGGGGTCAAAGTTGAGTAGAGGGTAGAGGAAGATAATTGTAGTGCTTTCTTTTTTCTTGCCTCAAGCTCAGCTAGAAACTGTAGAGGGTCCTGGTACTGGGGATCTTCTAAAAACACAGGAGCACAGCAGCAAAGGCCACTGTCACATTCCTATTACTGCATTGCTTTCAGGCCCCCACTTCCTGACATTGGACAGTCCTCATTTCCTCAGTGGTCCCCCAGAGTTGCTGGTGTGCCCAGCTCCCACTGTGCTACATTTAGAAGGTGAAATGGCCATAGTTAAAAGTATGTTTCTATAGAATACGACTTCAAATGCCCACATGCAGCATCTCTCCTTCTTTCCCGCCCATGCTTTCTCACAGCCTTCATGCATGTTATCTGGCTGGGTGAACAAGGAAGGAGAATCCCCAAAAGGACTTCAGGTCTGAATGAATGGATCAGAATTGGAGTCTGGGATGCATGTGCTTATAGGGAGCAGTCCTTTTAAGCTCTCCTGGGGTCAAGCAAACAGAGCAGAGATGAGCACATCAGTAGGTTTTAACCCTGGAAGGTCAGCCACAGTGAGGTCCTGACACCCTCTTTATGATTTCTCTAGCGTCATCACCCTGCTGGCCACAGTGTTGGGGGGAGAGGGAGTTTCCTGACTCTACTTCAAGTCCAAGAACCCCCGCATCCCCTACCCACCCCATCCTCTTGTAAAGGTAAGATTTTTAGATCCTGAAGAAGACTTGACCACAGCTATCATTTGCCTGAAGCCTGAATCCAGAATCTCTTTCCTTGGTGACCTCTCCCACTGTCTCACTTAATTCCATCCCTTATCCAAAATTGTTCAAGAAATATTTATTGAGGGCCTGCTTTGTACTAGGTACTACACCACACCTGGATCATGTATTGGAGGACACAGAAGTAATTAGAAATGCCTATTCTTTGGAGCTTATATTCCAGTGAGGGAAGTAAACAAATAAACACAATCTAAAGTATATCAGAGGTAAGTGCTATGGAGAAAAATGCAGGAGGGAAGTAGGCCAGGGATCGCCCTCTACTGGGCGGGGAGGGAGTTGCCTTTCCCTGCCCAGGGAGGGATGGGAGGGAATGAGAGTCGGGGAGGAGAGGTGACCTGAGAGAGAAGCCCAGTTTGACAATCTCAAGGCAGATAGTGTGGGAGTCACTAACAAGCACTGGGGGGCAGGGAATGTGGGGAGCTTGCCAGAAGCCTATGGAGCTCTCGGGCCTCTCTTTACTCCTAATGATGGAGGTGTGTGGATCCCCCTAGCTTCCTCTTAACTCCTGCTGGGGAAGTTCCTCTTCAGCCCCCTTTAGACAAGTGTAAATCTTCTGTTCACACTCTGCCTTCCAGTCCTGTCTTCTCTATTCTACTTTCTGCACAGCAGCCAGACAAGCATTCTTAAAACAAGTCCGATCATATGACTGCCCTGCTTAAAACACTTTCCCATTTCCTTCCCCATAAAGTTCCAACCTCTTCCCAAAGTTAACAGTCCCACGATAACCTCCTTTTCTTCCCTTCTTCCTCCAATGCATTTTCCAGAAAGATCCCTCTTATACGTGCAGTTCTTTCTGCCTGGCAGGGCCTCTCCTCTTTTTTTCCTGCTGACCCCTGTACCTTCTTTAAGAAAGCTTCTCTGACTGCCTGGACACACCATGTGCTTCTGTGAGCCCCCTTCTTAGTTATCGCCATCATTAATGGGTCTAATACTGCCAGATTAGAGCTGTTGACTTATTTGTCTGTCTCTTTCACTAGACTGTGAATGCTCTGAGGCCAGAATCTGATTACTATTTATCTTACGAGGAAGAGAAAAGCTTATGGGCACTCAAAGCTGGGCCATGATTTTTCCTGGTTGATCAAGAACAGTCTCACAGACCACCAATATCAGACAGGGTGACCCTAAAGAAGGGAGCAAAACTCAGGCTGCTCGGCTGTCACATCCAAGTACAGGCAAAAGCAAGGTCATCGTGCACACCACAAAAATGACCAAACACCCCCGTCGGCTACAATGAGTGACTGCTGCTTCTTTCAATCACAGATTTAGCCTCCTAGCTAAGATTCTCTGAGATGCTCAGTCATAGAGTTATCCCAGTTCTCGACAACACTCAGCTTAGAGCAAACTCCTAAATCCTTGAACCCTCCCTCAAATCATCTGACACAAGCCCAAATCCTAGGATCAGCCCCACCTAACTCCCTTCCTGAGCCCTCCATGGTTCCTCACCATGTACAGAATCCCTTGTTGAGCAAGGATCAATAAATCCAACTTGGTTTGACTTGAGTTGAGTTGCTGGTGGTATCACTACTTTGGACTGACAGGTCCTACCGTAGTAGGACTTTTGTCAGTAACTGTTCAATTGAACTGAATTCCAAGGGGGGAACATCTGTGGCAATTGTGCTGGGTCCTAGCTGTGCTTCTTAATCCTACATCCTGGCATTAGCCAATCTTGGCTGTGAGGCCAGTGTGTAAAAACTAGTTTCAGGTTAAACTGACCAAATTGCAAAATTTTGCTATTTCAAAATAGCTATTGAAAAAAATATTTTTACCTGAAGGAGTTGAAGATCGCCTTCAAATGTCTCTGGATCAAAGAATGGATAAGGAATTGCCTTTTTAATGGAAAATATTTGGTTATATTTCTTTTTATGGATTATGGAGTGGGCCCCAAGAATAACTTGAGGATTACCTTTCCTGGAAAAAACAAGGACAACATATCATTTATATGAGAGAATAGATGAAATTAAGCACGAACTTAATTTATTAAATACGATCAGTTCTTTCAAGTGGTTTCCTATTTATAAACAAGCACAGCAAAGCAAGAGGAAAACATGAGGCTTTTTTCTCTTGGTGTTTTAGTGACTTTCTTACATAAAACTCCCAAGACATGTGTTATCTCATCTTTTTTGAGGAAGAAGCAACAGGAAGGGAATCCCAGGCCATTTGGCAGAGGCAAGAGCATTGGGTTGCCAAGGCCCGGAGAGGTCTGCTTGCGTGCTGACCAAAGAGGGCTGCTTCTGGAAGAGGGGCTGCCAGTTTCTCCATTTGCCTTGGATTTGTGGAATCAACACTCAGGGGAAGAGACTAAACCCAAGAAGTAGAGACTCAACCTAAGAACGAGAGCAGAAGTAGCCGGTTTGCTTTTCTGTGCTTCGGGGAGATGGTGTATTTTGCTTGAATCTTCAAAGATGACAAAGGTTGAAAAGAGTCAAGGTTTTAATAGGAAGGATTAAAGAAATGCATTGGTTTTATAATGAACTTTTAAAACTGAATCTAAACCAACAAATGCGCACACACACCAACAGAAGCAAACAAAGGAAATGAATTAGCGCCAAGTCTAGTTTGTGAATCTAATGATAACTAATTTGGAAAAGGTGGGCACAAGCATTTCTTGATTTGCTGGACAGACTTTGCACCAAGTAGGCCTATTATTAAGCGTGCCAGTGGTGTGCTTTATTTATTGTGTACATTGTGCCGAAGTTCCTACTTGATAAATTCTCATTTGACACAACAATATAATGTGAATCTGTTCGGCTCGTCTTTGTGGAAAGCTAGTTTTTAAGTCTCTCCTTTTATTCATGCAATTTATGCTAATGTGAGCAGGGAAATAGTAGGCACTGTTTACCAACAACAGGTACCAATGAAGAAAACAGCAGCATATCCATGTGATAAACATTATTCTGACTTTCAAACCACGTGAGGGAAAACATTAGTTTGAAATGGCTGCTTTTTAAAGTCAGACAGTTAAATAACAGTAATTTCCCATCATTCAATTCAATATGTAGCAACATAAGATAAAACTAATAATATAATAGAAAATCATTTGTAATCATTGAGGACACAATTTGCTTGACTATGTAGAATATACTTATGGAAAAAGTGCAGTGAAATATAGCAGAATATTAACAGTGATTATGTGAAGTTGATAAGATTACAAGGACTGTTTTCCACCTCTCTTTTGTTTCAAAATGTTAAAAATTATTGCTATTTATAGTAAAAAATATAAATCATAAAATTAAAATCATATGAGAAAATGATCATGCATTTCAATTTTATTCTGTAGGATCTGACCTTTACTCACAGAGATAATTATAATCATAGTACATGGCATTGAATGTGCTTGTACACTTTCTTCTCTACCCCTACCTAATTTTGGTTTTAGACTTCAGAGTCCTTTTCACAATCCTCCTCCCCGCCACCCCCAAACTGCCTGAGAATGAGAGGAGCTTGGAATTACTTACAGGTCACAGTGAGCAGCTGTCAACACCCAGTTTTCTTTGATCAAAGCTCCTGCACAGGTTTGCTGCCCTTTGATTAGAGCCATGTAGATTCTTGAGTGAGGTGTCACTATGTTTCCTCCTATTATTCCCTCAGAGGATACTGGAAAAACTAAAAGAGGGATCCAGAGTGAAATCCTATCTTACCCAGTGCTGTTTCCCTCTGAGAAAGTTCTGATACAATGAATAGATCCAGAATGAGTCCATCGAGGTTAGGGAGAGAAGCTCAGAGCAGTCCAGATGGCGCAGGGTTTCTACAACTTTCCATGACAGCTCTGGATAAGAGTATCTTGAATTGTAACAATACTTCCCTTCCTCAAGAATTCAAAGCACCTTTAACATAATGTCTCTCCTTCCTATTCCCAAGAGGTAGAAAATGTCAGGCAATAGAGTTTCTTTTCTTAAAGCTCAAAAAACAAAAAGATTAAAGACTTACCCAAGACCACACAGTTAGAGTGGAGTGGGGAGAATAGCATTCTCCTGTTTCTGCCATCCCTAGTCTATTCACTTCCTACTACAGGCTGCATTGTCTCAGCTGTGGGTTGGACACGGCATTATTAACCTTAAAAATCTCATGTATTCCATGATGAGATTATTATTTGCAAAGATAGTTTAGTGAACTATATTCAAATCAAAGAAAAAGCCCAAAACTATAGTAACAACAATAATAAAAACATCTATGACTTACCAGGCACCAGTTAGTTCCAGACACTAGGTCTGATGCTGACTACAATGCAAGTTGGGTGTTACTATTCCCACATAGAGGTAAAGAACATGAGTTCACACAGGGCAATTATTTTGCCCAAGTTCACACAATTAATAAATGGCAAAGCAGTGTTCTAATCCAGTTCCACATCAATCCAATCAAAGAAAAAACATGTTCTTTCCATTGTAAAGCACCATTTTCCCAAGGTAGTTGTTCTTTACCTTTGTTATTTTTGAAATATAGAGTCTTTTGAGAAATCTAGAGCCATCTGATAAAATATAGACACACAGATGCATATAAATATTTGCATACAATTTTGGGAGAGTCACACACTTCTTGATTCCCACCCATGGCCTTGAAGGAGCTCATGGATTCCACAGCTTTAACTTATGGTTACCAGAGGGAAAAGGGGTGGGAAGGGATAAATTGGGAGTTGAAGATTTGCAGATACTAACTACTAAATATAAAGTAGATAAACAACAAGTTTCTACTGTATAGCACAGAGAACTGTATTCAATACCTTGTAGTAACCTATAATGAAAAAATATGAAAAGGAATATAGGTATATATATGTATGACTGAAACATTATGCTGTACACCAGAAACTGACACAACATTGTAAACTGACTATACTTCAATTTAAAAAAAGAAAAAAAAAGAATCCCAGTATCATTGAAAGTATCATTGACCTATAAGTTATCATACTGTGTGGTTAAGAACATGAACTCTGGGTTCAAATTCCAGCCCTACTGCTTACTAGCTGATGACTTTAGCAAATTGATTTGACTTCTCTGTGCCTTAGTTTCCTCATATGTAAAATGGGCTGATAGCAATGATACTTAAGAAAAGTAAATGTTAATATTCATAAAGAACTTAGGATACTACTATGCTTAATTGTAAATTTTATCAAATGTTGGCACATATGTATAGTTCATTGGCTTATTTTACATTGATTTAATTACATTCTTCACTCCCCCCACCACTGGAAATAGACACAAATACATTCTGAAAACCAAAGTTTCAAGATTTATCTGAGAGCTATGACTATTCAGTTGTGTCTGTATGACTGAGACATCCAGTTAGTAAGTAATCTATCCATTCCCAGTTTAATGGCTTTGCTGGATTTCCACTTGAAGGTTTTGCTCTGTAGATCTGGCCTGAATTTATGAGAACCTCCAGATATAATTAATGCTTATACATTTTTGCTGAGGACAAAAGAGAGTATATTTTTATCATAAAAAGCCAATATGCCATTTAGATAGCAAAGACAAAAAGGTAACATGAAAAATTTTTGGAGATTAAGTGATGATTTCTTTTTCCCTTTTACACAATATTAAACATAAATTAAACTAATATAAAATTCTCTTTTCTTATGAACAAAACTGAAAAGTATATAAAAATATGTCTTACCTCCAGGAATTAGAAAGAGACACATGGCAGCAGGAAAAGAGAAAGGAAAAGGAATTTCCATGGCTTCTGTTACTCACTTATGGAGACTATTTTGTTTTGGGTATTGACTTAGTCTCATATAATGAAACACAAAGGATGTGGGTTTTTTCTTTTTTTTCTTTCGCTGCAGTGCAGCTAAAGATTTTGGTGTCTTTTATTACTGGAAAATGTAACTTTATTTTAGAGATGGTGTGGTTACTTATTTGTTTCACATTTCCCTCAAGGTTAGACCTCTCCTACCTTAAAGGGCAAATATGAGACCGTGGAGACTGTGATCAATTAAGAACATTAAATAGAAAATTTCTCTTTGACAACTTTTTCACTTTCAAATACGAGTTTACTTTAAAAAGCTGAGAATTCAATTCGATATCAGAAATTGTTTTGAAATAGTATCTTTAAACCTATTCTAGTGGGGAAAGGACAGATATTTGATGCATTTATTGTTGAGAATGCTGGGTAATCATTGAAGGAAAACTGAGGTTAGAATCTTAATGCACACCATTCAACTAAAGCACTAAATGCACTAAAAGCACTAAATGAAGATACAGATCAATATTTATACACAGGCAGAAATGACAAAGGGACTTTGAGATACAGCGTCAAAAGCAGAAATTGTAAAAGACTGATGGACTCAATTTTGGAAAAGTTGAAGCTTCTATACCTTAACACATCAAGCATAAAGGCAAATTGCAAACATTTCAATATATGTGACACAAAGGGATAATTTTTATAAAGCAATAAGAAAAGATGAACACCTGAAAAGAAAAATGGTCAAAGAATTTGAACAAGTAATTTACAAAAGAAGAGGTAAAAATGGCTGCTATATTCCTAGTCTATGGGGGAATGCATAAGCACATAGCACAAGTTATCAATACTGAAAATGCAATTTAAAATATTTAGGTACTAGTTTTGCCTGTCAAATGACTGAAAATTAAAAAACAAACAAAAAAATACTCTGTTGTTGGAAATTCTCATGTGTTGTTGGTATTTCAAACTGCTACCATATTTCTGGAAGGCCAAACATATAAAGGGGTTATTAAATTCTGCATGATTTTTGGCCCAGCAAGTCATGGCCATGATTCATAATTGAAAAAAATCATGGAGATGCATAAACATTTAGTCATAAGGAGTTCCATTGCATTATTGTTCTTAATGTGAAAAGGTTGAAAATGATCTCAATGCCCCCAAATAAGGAATTAAGTAAGCATATCAGTTTCCCATTGCTGCTGTAACAAATTGCCACAAACTTAGTGGCTTGAAAGAATATAAATTTTTTATTTTCTAGTTCTGTAGGTCAGAAGTCTGATGTGGGTCTCCCCACAAGGTGTCAGCAGGGCTGCATTCCTTTCTGGAGGCACTAAGGAAAAATACATTTCCTTGCTTTTCCCAGTATCTAGAAGCTGCCTGCATTCCCTGGCTTGTGGCCCCTTCCAGCTTCAAAGCCATCAATGGCCGATGGAGTCTTTCCCACACTACATTCCTCTGACCCTGACTCTTCTGCCTACTGCTTCCAGTTTTAAGGACCCCTGTGATTACACTGGGCCACTCAGATAATCTCCTTATTTGAAGGGGCAGATTAGCAACATCAATTTCACCTACAACCTCACTTCTTTGCCATGTAAACTAACATTCACAGGCTCTTGGGATTAGGATGTTGGCATGTTTGGGGAGGTGGGAAGCGTTACACAGCATGTCATACTATGTAAATTATGGTTCCTCTGGACAACTATTCTGTGCAACCATTAAATAAAGTAGAAGGTGATCATGGAAATGTTGCTGTATCAGACAGCTCTTGTGAGTCACCACAGATCCTCTTGGCCTCATGTAATCCATGGACCTTGGCCACTTGTTCTTCTCCAGCTACTCTGTGGAGACCAGTTCTGCATGGCTTCGTTTCATCTTGGGCACCACTTGACAGCTCCTTGCCTCATGCCTGCATGATACAGCTTTTGCCTCCCATCCCTGGACTCCACTGCTGCTCCTGAGATCTAGGGCATGATGTAGAAATGCAGGGGAGCTCGAGCTTTTTGGGAAAGTCTATTGATTGTAGGAGATGGAATCTAGTGGATAAATCAGCCATTCTTTGGAGCAGTAAATCTTATGTCTCTCAGAAGATAGTCTGAGCAATCAGTTGTGCTTGGTGCCAAGAGGTTTCCTGTCCGGCATGCACACTTGTATTGGTACTTCTCCTCAATACGCCTCTTTTCTCCCTCCGCACCACCTGTTACCCTCTTCTCAAGTACTATGATCGCTAAGAAAGTGGCAGCACATAACCCCTCCCCTCCAGGAGCTAAGGTTGATAATTGGGAGTGGCACTAGGAGTTAGGAGTGACCTTGTAAAGATATGATTTGGAGTTGAATGATTCACGGATCTGAAGCACTGGAGATCCTATTAGTGGTGATAAGTGGGGAGAGGAGAGGTGGCAGTGGGCTCCTTTGCTTCTCCTACGGGGTGGTGTGGGATCTGGGCAGCTCTGTCCCTTGTCTCCCAGTGAAGAAGGACATGTGTGGGAACAGGATTTCCCCAAAATGGGGCAGGTGGGAGAGGGATAATTGTAATTTTTAAAATTTTCTGAACTTTGAACTTAGGAGGATCTTTGAACTCTTAGAGTGAGAAGAGACTCTTATGAGGTTCCCACCAAAGCTTTCTGGTTCTAATGTGGTTATTTAGTTATGGTCTAGGGCCACAGGTTTCTACATGGTGGGTTTTCTAGGTAATGAAGCTACCAGACCATTTTCTCCCCCTGTTCCCAACCCCCAGCCTTGCATCTCGTGTCATCCCACTAGATCACCACCACCTCCTGGTGTTGCATCTACTCTGACCACTAGGACAGTCCCTTGCGTTTCATCTTTTTTTTTAAAATCACTTTATTGAGATATAATTCACATATCATGCATTTCACCCATTTAAAATGTACACTTCAATGATTTTTGATAGGTAACTATTAACTTTTAAAATTGTGAGATATATATATATATACATATATATACACACACCATAAAATTTGCCATTTTAGCCATTTCAAATTTACAATTCAGTGGGATTAATTATATTCACAACATTGTGCAACTATTATCACTATTTCCAAAACTTTTTAGTCACCTTAAACAGAAACTCTTTGATCATTAAGCAATAACTCTCCTTCCAGCCTCCAGTAACCTCTGATCTACTTTCTGTCTCTATGAAATCACCTATTCTAGATAATTCATGTAAGTGAATCATACAGTATTTGTCCTTTTCTTTGGCTTATTTCACTTAGCATAACGTCTTCAAAGTTAGTTCAGTTGTGGCAAGTATCATAATTTCATTCCTTGTTATGGCTGAATAATATTGTATGTATATGCCACATTTGGTTTATCTTTTCATCTGTTGATGGTCTTTTGGGTTGTCTCCACCTTTTGACTATTGTGAATGATGCTGCAATGAACATTGGAGTACAAGTATCTGTTGGAATCCCTGCTTTTTGGTTATAGACCTGGGAGAGAAATTGCTCAACAATAATTCTATGTTTAGCGTTTTGAGGAACCCTCTCATTTGACAATTTCAGATCCCAGCTTACTGTTACTTTCTCTACCTCCACTTCTGTCTTAATTTGGGGAGGATTTCAATATACAAGTAGCTGATCCTTATAGAACCCTAGCAGCTGACTTCTATTTTCTGTTGAGGATGTAGAAAGCTGGAAAGAGTGCTAATTCCACCTTTACAACAAAGAAAATCTGAATAAGCTACAAAATCATAATTTTTCTCGTGCTTCTCAGAATTGAGGCTGTAGGTCAAGCAAGGAAGCTGAAATCTAAGGGAAGACAGGTACCTCCAGGGAGAGATGGGACTTGCTTCCCTGGAGCAAAGCATGATAGGAAGAGATGCTAGACACCACAGAAGCTGATTGGAAGAATTCAGGTAAATGAATTGCTAAAGGCTGATCTTGGGTTTTCGTGAGAATATAGTGCCGCTGGGAGCTACAGACACAAGGAGAATTCACACTAGCTGACAGGCTTTTCTCCATGGCCCTCACCCTGAGAAAGCTAGGGGGCAAGCCAGGAGACTGAAGACAGCCTCCCCTTTGATGCAGGGGGCAAAAGCAGCCACCACTGCAGGAAGGGCACGAAGCTTGGCCAGGGCACTTTCCCCCTATTTTCTTCAGAGAGCAAAAGCCCTAAGCTTATGAGGAAAGGGCAGCAAATACTCTCACACTCAGGGTATAAGTGAAGACACATTGCAGCTGGGAGAATGAAGAGAAAAAACCCAACTATTTCTAAGGGAGAGGCAGGAAAGGTCCTCGGCTACTAGGAGAGGGAGAGGGTCACAGAGATGGCTGCACCCCTGAGACCAAGGCACACAGTGCCCACCTAAGACTGGGGCTGATTGTGGACACTAGAAAATGCTTCCCCACTTCCCACCCCAAGGATAGCAAGAACTGAGTAACAAATAATAGCAATCTCCTACTGGGAGGAGGAAAAGTGAAGGGAGAGAATCTCTTTGACCTTCAGACACACAGGCAGAGCCCAAAGCTGAAGTGGAACAGAATGTTGAGAAACACTCTCTGGTAACCCAACCCCAGCCCTAAGTACAGGGTAAAGCCAGAGGAATTTACAGCCTGAGGTGTACTCAGGGTACCTGTAGCAACAATAAAAGGGAACCCAGATCAACTCTTGACTAAACTGACTCAATTCCTCACAATAAATGCCTAGAAAATGAAGAGTTATTCACATACCCAGACATGAAACTGTTAACCTCAGTATCTACTGTCCTGCAAATTATGAGACCCACAAAGAAGCAAAGAAAACAGCACCCAGTCAAGAGACAAAGCAATCAACAGAATCAGACTCAGATATGGCTCGAATTATCAGAAAGGGAATTTAAATAATTGTAATTACTATGTTAGAATCTCTCATGGAAAAGATGAACAACTGCATGACCATGGGCAGGACATCAGCAGAGAGATGGAAATGATAAGAAGGGACAAATAGAAATGCTGGAAATGAAAAACATAGTGAAATTCTAATAACTTTGATGGGCTTGTTGGGAGACTACTCAGCTGAGAAAATAGGAACTTAAAGA